TTGCTGTGGGTTGAACTGTGTCCCTCAAAAAGGACATGTTGAGCCCTAGCTCGCTAATACGGCCCGCAGGGGGTCTCTTAGACTAGGACTGAGCAGCCCCCCCACAATTTGAAGACACCCAGAAGCATATGTGCACTTTCCTGGCCCCGACCCTGGGACCCTGGGACCCTGGGAAGGCTCGCTCAGGCTTGTCGCTTGCCTGTCGTGAAGCTGGAGGAGTGGACCAATGAAGGCTCGGGGGCTGGAGGTGTGACTTCACCGCCAGCGGGTGGCCAAACCTGCTGAAGTCAAGTGAGTGAATCATCCGTCCAATGTGGCCCAGTGAGTCAGAGGGGGCCAGGCAGAAAGGCCGAGCTGCAGGCATGTGGCCTTTTCTCTTTCTTTTGGCATCTAAAAGCGGCCCCTTCAAGTTATCGTTACAAGAAATAAACAGTGAAACGGTGCAACATGCTACACTCGTGCCACGCCTGGTACGTGCAGTGGAGAGATAAGGACAAAGGACTTAGAAAGAGCGGGACGCGTCCTCGCTATGGGCCTAGACAAGTTAACCCCTCTGGGCCTCACGTCCCTCATCTCTTCGCAGAGAGGAGGGGAGGGGGCCGTGTCATCATGACACGAGGAAAAGAGTACAGAGCCCCTGGCAAATGCCGGGCCCATCGCAAGCGCTCAGCAGAGATCGGCAGTGATTATTAATAAGCACTGCCCCCAAATAACTTACCCGCCACGACAAATCGGGAGGCACAACTTCCGTGTCTCCATTGGCTATGATCTGAACATACTGCCCGTCATTTTTCCTCTTCCTTTTCCCGGAGAAGAGTGTGGAATAGACAAACTATGACCTCATTCGCTCCCACCAACATTAATTACTAAGTGTTTTCTAATTACAAAAAGGACATTATATCTTAATTTACGTTCTGTTTTTTTTTTTTTTTTAAAAAGAACCAACACAAAGCTGTCACTTCTCACCACAGAATTAGTCAGTTTCTGTAGCGGCCAGGACCTGGGCGTGGCTCGGGGCCACCCTTGGCAGGCTGGGTCTCCGAGTTGGGGCACAGGCTGCGCGAGTCAGGGAGGCCCTGCTGCTCCTGGTTCCCCTTTCTGTGCTGCCCAAAAGCCTTGCTTTGGGTTTGTGCTGGGAACCAAGAGAGGCAAGAAACTGTGTCCCTGCTCCCTCCCGGACCAGTGACAGAGACAGAAAGGGTTATCGATGGAGACTGTTCCCCACAATGAACCTGAGAGCTGGTCTTTAGGGGTTATTGCCGCCCCCATTTTATAGAAGAGGAAACAGGCTCCCAGGGGGAAAGTGGTGGCTAATTGAAGCCCACCACTCAGAGGCATTTTCTCCAGACATTTCTATCCTGCATCAGCCCTTACATCGCCAGGGGGGCGACCCCCTCAGCATCTTTCCCCGCTGGGCGAGAGCCCCTTCCTGGGTTCCCCAGTTTCTACCCTGGCTCTTAGCACCTAGGGTCTAGCTGGTTGTTGGAAATGTCTGTTGATTGAATGACTGCAGCATTTTAATTCTTTTTCACCTTAAACCTTTGTTATTTTACTGCATTTACAGGTTCTAGAATGTCATCAATTCTGAGGTCCCTTCATTAATTTATGCAGTATTAAGAAAGAAAAATGCTGTTAATCACTACGTCACCTAACAATGACATGCCCCGAATGTAAACCACATTCTACTCTGAGAATTGCTAAAATATGAAACGTGCCTTTGACACAATGAAATGTATGATGTAAGCAATTACTGCTTTTAAACATATCCTAGGGGAAGGAGAGTTTATAAATATTCACATAATAATAATAACAAAGTTCCCTAAATACTTCCCCTGTGCCAAGCATTGTTCTAAAGTACTTTTCATCCATGAGTTCCTATCAAGGCCTAGCAACCTTTTCCTGTAAAGGGACAGGTTTTGTGAGCCATACAGTCTCTGTCACAACTACTTACCTCCCATTGTATGCAAAAGCAGCCACAGATAATATGTAAATAAACACAAGGCTGTGTTCCAATAAAACTTTATTTATGGATACTGAAATTTGGATTTTATATAACTTTCACGTCATGAAATACAATTCTTCTTTTGATTTTTTTCCCTAAACATGTAAAATGTAAAAATAGTCTTAGCTTGTAGGCTATACAAAAAGAGGCAGCAGGTTAGTTAGCTCACCTGCTGTATTTACCTTTCACTGTCTCATATGAGCTTCCTATCAGTCCTATGAGAGAGATACTATTAATATTCTCATTTTACAGATGAGGAAACCAAGTCTCAGAGAGGTAAAGTAACTTGCTCAAGTACACACAGCTGGTGAGTGGGCAAGCTGGGTTTCTAATCCAGGCAGTCTAACTCCTTGTTGTTTTTTTTTGTTTTTTTTTTGAGACAGAGCCTTGCTGTGTTGCCCTGGTTAGAGTGCTGTGGTGTCAGCCTAGCTCACAGCAACCTCAAACTCCTGGGCTCAAGCGATCCTCCTGCCTCAGCCTCCCAAGTAGTTGGGAATACAGACATGTGCCACCATGTCTGGCTAATTTTCTCTATATATTTTTAGTTGGCCAATTAATTTCTTTCTACTTATAGTAGAGACAGGGTCTCATTCTTGCTCAGGCTGGTTTCGAACTCCTGACCTTGAGCCATCCTCCTGCCTTGGCCTTCCAGAGTGCTAAGATTACAGGCGTGAGCCACCAAGCCGGGCCCTTAACTTGGTTTTAACAATGATGCTGTTACCCTAACATTTTTATCTTTTTCCTTGGTTACAAAAGTTAGACATTTGTGTTCAAAAAGTTCAAGCCATACAGAGTTATAAGGAAGAAAATGAAAGGAGCTCCACCCTCCAGAGAGAAACACTGCTAAGGGTTTGAACACATAGCGCTGACTGGGGAGTGAGAATGTTCTGAACACTGTGTGACTTTGAATAAGTTGCCTAACCTCTCTGAGCCCTAGTCTCTCAAAGGAGGGTGAAGGAGCTCCACCCTCCAGAGAGAAACACTGCTAAGGGTTTGAATACTCAGCTCGCATAAGGCCAACCGGAGTGAGGATGTTCTGAACACTGTGTGACTTTGGACAAGTTGCCTAACCTCTCTAGGCCCTTGTTTCTCAAGCGTGGGGGCTGGGTGAGATGACGCAGCTCTGCAGGCCCTCCCCGGCCTGACCGTGGAGATCTGTTTGTAAAGATTGTGCAATAGCAGCGGGCTCTGTCCTAACTGCTGGGCGTGGAAGGTGAAGTCACCCTTGCCAGCCCCTCAGGGTGGGCCCAAGTGGCTGCCAAGTCTCCTTAGCAGGGACACCAGGGCCTGAGTTGGGAGTCCCAGGTGGCTCCAGGCTCCCTCCAGGGCTGGTGCCGGGGACCACTCTGCCAGCGAGGAGAGCTCGCGGCAAGCGGAGAGTCAGAGGCCCAGCCAGCACCGCCTGGCACGGGCTTTCGGGGGCCAAGGCCTCAACAGGCCGGGGTTTGCGTGGCGGGGTGCCCAGGCCCCCTCCCTCTCTCGAGTCAGACAGGCCTGGCTTCGGATGTGTGTGATGGCTCCCAGCTTTGTCAGCTTGGCATGTCCCTTCTCTGAGCCTCTTTCCTTGCCTATAAGATGGGGATAAGGACCCCCTCACAGGACCATGGGTACGTTCCTGACGTGGTCCCTGTAATGCACCCGGCACAAAGGTGCGGCTTCATAAATGTCGGCTTCCATCCTCTCTTCTGATACTTTTCAATAGGACCCTTTAAAAAAATTCCGCCATTTCACAAGTTGGGGGCCGACTATGTGTCAGCACTGCATGAAAGGTGGCAGGGAGGGGAGTCCGGAGAGGAGAAAAACACAACGCGGTCCTGCCCTCAAGCTCACAGGCTAACAACCCTGGGGAGAAAGACAAGCATCTAAATGACTTCTGCGCAGTCAGAATATTCGGACAATGTCCTCCAGGGCTTAGGCGAGGGGAGATGTGGAGAAGCCAGGGGAGTCTTCACCTAGAAAGATTGTGCTGGAGCCTAGGGGGACGCCATGCTAGCGGGGGCAGGGGGAGTGGTGTGAGGACCGGGACATTCGAGGAACACAGGCCCGTGGACCTTTCCTGGAGCACGACAGAGAAACCCAAGAGAGTGGGAGGCTGAGCCAGACAGACGGCCAAGGCCCATGGTGATGGGCTTTGGATTTAGTGGGTGATAGGGAGTCACAGAAGGCTGGTGAGGGAGGAACCACCACACAGGCAGACGGTAAAAGGGCTGTGGCTTTTGAAAGAGAGAACGTGACTGTGGGACCCTGCACGCCTCTGGGTGTGAGCCACGCCAGCCCTTTCCCATGCACTGTTTTACTTAGTCCTAGATGGATATTATTCCCAGTTTACAAATAGGGAAACCGAGGCCCAGAAACGTTCAGCTGTTTGCCCAAGGTCACAGAGCAGTGAGCTGGGGCCACCTTCCGACTGTGGTCAGTGGAAGCTCTTCCCTGGCTTTTCCTGTGACCCCAAGGCAGGCCCAAGGCCGACTCTGAGAGAGGACTAGGACCCGGATGGAGGCTGCTGCCGACCCCGGCTCCACCGCGTCTCCCCACAGCCCTAGAGGTGGCCATCCTCTGCATCACCACAGGAAGGCTGAAGTGACTTACTCAAGGCCACACTTTAAAGGTGGGGAATCCAGGCCAGGCCTGGCAGGGAGTCCAAAGTCCCGGACCCTTCCCACTACTCCACGCCGCCTCCCAGTTTACTCCTAAACATGACTAGTACTGGGAACAGCCCAGGGCAGAAAGACCCAGTTCTCTCCCCCGAGGCAACATCCACTGATTCCCCCTGCTCCATGCCTGTCTGCTGCCCGGGCCCACAGCGCCAGCCTACCCTTCTGCAGTTACCCAGACCAGACTACGCCCGGCCTCTCGGCCTCCAGTCTCCGGCCAGAAGCAACTTCCGCACTGCCTGGATGGGAGCTTGTCTCAGGCAGGCGACCCTTGACTGAGTCCTCGTGTGTTAGTTGCTCCCAAGGAGGGACCTTTCCCTGAGCTGGGCCTCTGTCCCACCTACCTCTATTGATGTGTCTCATAAACCCATGGCTCATGGTGACCTTCCCCTGGGTTCTGATGCCAGACCCTGAAAGCACAGTGGCATGATGACATAAGAACCGCTCTGCTGGGATGGGGAAAGCAAGAGATTTAGTGAATCATAACGCGAAGGGGCGGGGTACCGCCTGCGTCCTTAAACCCACTATCTCCCACTTGGGCCTCAAACCATGGACTCAGTGGGCCACAGTAGACCCATTCTACAGATGTGGGCTTGGAGGCTCAGTAGGGCAAGAGACGGACCTGGGATCACCCAGCAGCAAGATGACAGCATGGGGCTCAAGCCCACTCCCTGCGCCTTTCCAGCCACCTTGGAGAGGAGACCCTCCCCTCCGGGCCAGCCTGTGCCTCCCCCACTGTGATATTTGCATAAAAAAGAGTTGTTTGTTTGTTTTTGGTTTTTCTGTGTGTGAAAAAATGTGGGTAGGGGACAGTGTAATGAATGCGCCAGGTCAAAATAAATAAATAAATAAAAATTGGGACAGATCTAGTCGGTATGCAGTCAAAAGTCAGCAGCTGTAACATTCTATGATTCAACACAGAAAGTATGCTGAGTTCCTCAGCTGAATAAGTAGTATAAACAAATAATTTCTTTTTCTTCTCTCCATACAGGGAGGGTGTTGTTCTTATCTGAAGACTTCTTAGCTGTCCTCGACCAAGGTTCATATGAAGGTAGAAAACGCCCTTTAAAAAAAAAAACCACTCAGTGCCCTGAACTTTTCTAGAAGAATCCAGGCAGAAGGTTTGCGCATAGTTGAGCACACAGCTAGGCGAGGCAAATGCAGAAGTTGCCTCTGGTGATAGAACCCACAGAGCGCCGGCACGGGGTGGCCGGTGAAATCCCCTCCCCCTGGCAGAAGAAACCGCAGAACGTTCCTGCCTCGGCCCGCCCGGCCGGTGGCGCAATGTTTATGTTTGTGTGCCTAGCCGGTCCGCGGGGCGTCTCTAGGACGGGGGGCGCGGTGGCGCGCGCGCGGGGTCTTCCAGGCCTTCGGGCCGCGTCCTGGCGCTCGCCCAGAGCGCCGCGCGGCGGGTTGCGCGTCCGGCCCGTGCCGACGCCGAGGCCGCACTGGCTCGGAGCCCCGAGCCGGCGCACACAGGCGTTCCAGCCACACAGTATTTTTGTGAAAGGAGGGAAGGGACGACGCCGCTGCGTCGGGAGCCCGCGTGACGGAGGAGGCTGGCGGTCGGGGGCGCTGCTGAGCCGCGGGGCGCCCCGCCCGCGCCAGCCCCGCCCGCGTGCGGGCCCCTGCGACCCCCGCGGACCGCAGCCTGACCCGCCTTCCTCGGTTCCAGTCGTCCGGGGCCCGTGACTAGGAATTACAGGCTTCCTGGTTGGGGTCTGCTCCGAGGCATTTTTCATGGCAGATGTAAATTTTTTAAAGTGACATTAGAGAAGGTCCGGGAACCAGGAAAACACTTCCCTGAACCTCGCCACCGCAGTTCACGCGGGGCGTTCCTGGTGGAACCCGCATCTCTACGGACCAAGCTCATTCTTCTCCAACCCGCCCCAGGCTCCTCTCTACCGCCCCGCCCCGCGCCCCGGCCAGTCGGCCTCCTCCTCGGGGGCCCAGGTTCCCCGCCCGCTAGCGTGAGGGAAAGAGGGGGGCACTCGCGTGCGCAAGAGCGCAGGAAGCCCCTCTCTGCCCGGGTCCGGGGCGGGGGAGGGGAGAGGAGGGGGAGGGGAAGCAGCGCCGAGGCGGAGGCAGGTGGCCTGTGGTCCGCGGCCCCTGCCGCTCGCATCCGGGAGGTCGGCCCTAGGCGGGCGGCGCGTCCCCCTCCCGCGCTGGGCCGGAGGGCGGCGCGGGCCGGACGGTGGGGGGCCGGGCGGCGGGCCAGCGCGCGGCCGGCGGGCCCGGCTCCGAGGCCGATGACGTCTTCGCCTCTGGCACCGGCCGGGCAGGGCGGTGACGTCACCGCCCCGTCACGTGACCGCCATTCAAACAAACAAACCCCCTCCCCCCGCGCGCCGGCCCGCCCGCCCGCCCCGCCCCCGGAGCGCCGCGTCGCATATAAGCGCGCTCGCGGGCCGCGCTCCGAGAGAAGGACGTTCGGGCTGCGGGCTGGGCGCGGCCGGAGGGGCAGTCGGGGCCGCTAGGAAGCCGAGGTGGCTGGAGACCCGCGGGGCGCCCCTCGCCCAGTGCAAAGGCAGTTGTTGGCTCGGCGCGCAGAGCCGCGGCCGGGCTTTTCCTCGACAGCCGCCGCCCCGCGCTTGGCTTCCGAGGACAGACAAAGAGCGCGGCGGAGCGGCAGGCTGGGGGCGCTGGCGCCGGCCATGGTCATGGAGGTGGGCACGCTGGACGCCGGGGGCCTGCGGGCGCTGCTGGGCGAGCGCGCGGCGCAGTGCCTGCTGCTGGACTGCCGCTCCTTCTTCGCCTTCAACGCCGGCCACATCGCCGGCTCGGTCAACGTGCGCTTCAGCACCATCGTGCGGCGCCGCGCCAAGGGCGCCATGGGCCTGGAGCACATCGTGCCCAACGCCGAGCTGCGCGGCCGCCTGCTGGCCGGCGCCTACCACGCCGTGGTGCTGCTGGACGAGCGCAGCGCCGCGCTGGACGGCGCCAAGCGCGACGGCACCCTGGCCCTGGCCGCCGGCGCGCTGTGCCGCGAGGCGCGCGCCGCGCAGGTCTTCTTCCTCAAAGGTACGCCCGCGGGGAGCTCGCGGGGCCGCACGCCCCCGGAACCCTGCCCCGGACCCCTGGCTCTGGCCTCCTGGGGCGCTGCCCCACCTGCAGCGCGTGGGCGCCAGAGTCGTGTCTCTGGGGACTTGTCATTGGCTTTGTTTGGCTCTGGGAACAAAGGCTTGCCTGGGCCACTCCACGTAAACTTCCAGCCCCTGGTGGGTGGGGGAGTTGTATGAAGGTGCCCTGTCCCGGCGTTACTAATGGAAAAAAAATGTCTTTGTATTCTCAGGAGGCTATGAAGCTTTTTCGGCTTCCTGCCCGGAGCTGTGCAGCAAACAGTCGACCCCCATGGGGCTCAGCCTTCCCCTGAGCACAAGCGTTCCTGACAGCGCGGAATCAGGGTGCAGTTCCTGCAGTACCCCGCTCTATGATCAGGTTAGTAGGGGCCTGTGCCAGAGGGGAGAAGTAAGAGCTGGCAAAGTCCTGGAAGAGCAGTGCCAGTGAGAATATAGAAAGTGACCTGCAGCTTTATTTATAACAGAGGACATAGGGATATGATTTATTCCACCGTTAAGTGGTCTGATGGAGTCTCAAATTGCTGGCACTACAGAAATGAACTTGCTGGCCCTGCCCAGGCAAATGGGCTTAGTCCCCTATTTATTTATACTCCAACAACGGTGCCAGAATTTCATCCAGTGTCTGAAAAGGCCTTTTGCAGCAGGAAGCTTTTGTGGGTATGGGTACTGGGCATTGACTGTGAGCAAGCTTGACAAGTGTTGGATTTTTGTGGTTTTCAGGGTGGCCCAGTGGAGATCCTGCCGTTTCTGTACTTGGGCAGCGCCTATCACGCTTCCCGCAAGGACATGCTGGATGCCCTGGGCATCACTGCCTTGATCAATGTCTCAGCCAATTGTCCCAACCATTTTGAGGGTCACTACCAGTACAAGAGCATCCCCGTGGAAGACAACCACAAGGCAGACATCAGCTCATGGTTCAACGAGGCAATCGACTTCATAGGTAAATGGAACGGATGCCTGGACTCTGCCTGCCTTTTCTCTTCCCATTTTAGCCACTGAGCCCAACCTGTATGGCAAGGACTTGAATGATAGTTTCCGATCCTGCTTCCAGACAGTTAACAGTCAGTCTGGTGTGGGCAACATCCCTGCAAAAATATGGATGTAATGTCCCACTTTACAGATTAGCAAACCAAGGCTCAGAGAGTTGAATTGACTTGTCCAAGATCAGTCTGCTAGGTGGAAACACGCAGTCTGGTTTAACCCTTGGGGTCTTTTGCACAGTGGCCACATCACCTCCATGTACAGTGTCCATGTGATGGCATGAGGTGATGTTGACCGTCTCTGGATAAGACACATGACATTTCTTAGACACCCTATACCTGGGCTTGGGTTAGGTAGTTCTCCTGTCGAGCAACCATCCACCCTTTGTTTTCCAGACTCCATCAAGAATGCCGGAGGAAGGGTGTTTGTCCACTGCCAGGCAGGCATTTCCCGATCAGCCACCATCTGCCTCGCTTACCTTATGAGGACTAACCGAGTCAAGCTGGACGAGGCCTTTGAGTTTGTGAAGCAGAGGCGAAGCATCATCTCCCCCAACTTCAGCTTCATGGGCCAGCTGCTGCAGTTTGAGTCCCAAGTCCTGGCTCCGCACTGCGCAGCAGAGGCGGGGAGCCCCGCCATGGCTGTGCTTGACCGGGGCACGTCCACCACCACGGTCTTCAACTTCCCCGTCTCCATCCCCGTCCACCCCACGAACAGTGCGCTGAGCTACCTTCAGAGCCCCATCACGACCTCTCCCAGCTGCTGAAAGGCCACGGGAGGGGAGGGGAGGGTCTTCATGTCCCGCTGGAATTCCAGGCTCCTACTTGAGAGGAGAAATGCAATAACTCTGGGAGGGGGCTCACGAGGGCTGGTCCTTATTTATTTAATTTCAGAACCTGAGTTCTACTGGGTTCCTAAACAGACACAGTGATGACATGGCGTCAAGACGTTTGCTGAACTCAGCACATTTGGGACCAATGTATACTGGGTACATCAAGTCCCTTTGACAAAATGGGGCAGAAGAGAATGGACTCAGTGTGAGCCAGTTTCTTTTTGCTCGCCCCTGTTTTTTGTAGAATCTCTTCATGCTTGACATACCTACCAGTATTACCATTCCCTACGACACATACATATGAGGATATACCTTATTTATTTTTGTGTAGGTGGTCTGCCTTCACAAATGTCATTGTCTACTCCTAGAAGAACCAAATACCTCAATTTTTGTGTTTTGAGTACTGTACTATCCTGTAAATATATCCTAAAACAGATTTGTTTCAGCACTGATGGAAAACACCAGTGTTGGGTTTTTTTTTTAGTTGTCAACAGTTGTATGTTTGTTGATTATTTATGACCTGAAATAATATATTTCTTCTTCGAAGAAGACATTTTGTTACATAAGAATGACTTTTTTATACAATGGAATAAATTATGGCATTTCTATTGAAATCTCCATGCTTCATTTCTTTTGGAAATCTGATCCCTTTCTCACTAGTGAAATAGGGAAGAATTTGGACAGGGTCTGCAGAATGTGTGTGTTGAGAGATCTGACTATATATACCCTGTGGTGGCCCCTTGGTCCCATGAAATGGCTGGGTTGCGAGGGAGGAAGACAAGTGAGATCTATCATGAAAAACCTGCTGTAGTAGCTGAATTCTTGGTATTGGGTCAAAGTGCCCCCATACCCTTTTTAACAGCTGTGTAACCTACCATGTCACCCAGGGAGCCCAAGTGTCCCCAGAGCCAAAGCTAGGAAGAAATGGCCATTTGGCAGGATTATCTTTTTCATTTAATTTCTGCCTTGGGAAAATATAAAAAGTCTCCCCTCTCTGAGCTGTGCTAGAGTTAGGGAGATGATAAACATTTTCCACAAAACACTTGCAATAAATGTGTTTCTATGTGCAAAGCAGTGTGTGCTACCTGTCCCCAGAAAAACTCAGCATGATCTTGTGCAAATGAAGATGCTGAGACAGCATAGCTAAGTGGCAGGAATAGGGGAATTGGAATCTATAATACCTCTGTTTTGTTTCTGTATTCTATGAGCTTTGTACTTTATCACCTGCCCGTTTTATAGTACTCTTGCTTTTGAAAAGGCTTTTATTTTTGTGAAAATAATACATTGGCTAAAAAAAGAAAATCCAAGCACTATAAGCAAATACAATATAGAGAAATCACCTGTATCACCCCCTCCCCAAGCTGGCCATTGTTAATGTTTTGGAGGACATTCACATCCGGTATCTCTGCATATGAACAGGGCAGTTTTTGGTCACTGCCTCCATCAG